ATTTTTTTTCTTTCCTATTTTTGTTTGCTTGTGTTTATATTATGTATATTTATTTTTATTTGGGTGTTATTGTGCAGTGGAAGAACCACGTGAACCTCGTATACCTCCGACTGTCTCGAACCGTAAGAAGAGGAAGGAACTATCCGATAAGGGCAAGGGCAAGGCAATCACGACCAAGAAAAAGACCACGACCAAGAAGAAGTCTGGAGATGGTTCTTCCTCAACGAATCCGGCTAGCTCGATGGAGCCACTTCCACCGCCATCGAGCTCGTCGGATGCCCCACAAGCAGTTGTGAAACGCGTGTTTAGTAGGAATAAAAAAACACATGATTAGTCTTGTGTGTTTTAGGACATTTAGTTGATGGATTTTGTTTGGTGTACATGTTATTTTTTGTTTTAGATGGATGTTGTTTGATGGATTATGTTTGATTTACATGTTTTTTTTTTAATCTAGTTTTATATGGATTTTGATTGTTTTTAAATGAATTTTTTTTGAAATTTGAAATTTTTATTTTTTTTATCTAATAACACTTAGAATATGTTTTTTTATTTTACATTGCAATAGATTTGGGGTTAATTTCACAAAAAAAAAAAAAAAAAAAAAATTGCAATTTATCGAAAAAAAATAAAAAAAATTGAAACAGACAAACATCGACATCTAGCTGTCGAAACTTTTCTGTTTCAATTTTTTTTTTTTTCCAAAAACACTTAGAATATGTTTTTTATCTTACATTGCAATAGATTTCTGGTTAATTTCACAAAAAAAAAATTGTAATTTATCAAAAAAAAAAAAAAAATTTTGAAACAGACAAAAATCGACAGCCAACTGTCGAATTTTGTCTTAAAATTCGACAGCTAGCTGTCGAAACTTTTCTGTTTCAATTTTTTTTTTTTTGATAATTTGAATTTTTTTTTTTTTGTCCAAAAACACTTAGAATATGTTTTTTATGTTACATTGCAATAGATTTGAGGTTAATTTCACAAAAAAAAAAAAAAATTGCAATTTATCAAAAAAAATTAAAAAATTAAAAATAAAACATAACACTTAATAACATTAAAACTATCACCAGTAACTTTACACAGTTTTGTTCGGAGAACTATCACCATTGTCCGATATAGTAATAATCTCGAAACTCTCTCGCATGGCAACATTTTGACCTATTAGTTCTCGGAACAAGTGAAGTCTGTTCCTTTGATAATCGTCATCCTTGTGTTCTTTTGTCCCCTTCAATTTAAACGGACAATTGCATTTCTTTGAACCGGTGCTCATTATTCCCGGTCTTTGATCATCTTCACCGGGTACCTTCTTGCCAGCATAAAGGCCCCCACGCTCACAACGAACAATCACATACGGTGTCCTACATCCCCTATCCCCGTCACTCGAACCCGCAATCATTAACATCATTCCAATTCTTTTACATACTTCACGAACCCATGCTATTAAAGTTTCTTTTGTTGGGAATTTTTCTGACGTGGTAAATGAATGGGTGCAATCGATCTACACAAAAGTGGAGAAAATATTAGACAAGTAAATTTGCAACAGGAAAAAAATCGACACCTAAGTGTCGAAAATAATAGCAAAATTCGACGAGTAACTGTCGAATTTTACCGCCAGTATAATATCAATTATTATGTTGTTCGACACATACATGTCGAAAAATAAGCACATTTTCGACCTGTATGTGTCGAAAGTTGATGGCGGATTTAAAAAAAAAAAAATATCAAAATCGATGTTTTAGCTCAAAAAATACATGAATACATACATTAATGGGTTCTCCTTGCCCGTAAACTACCATTCTATTGTCATTTGAAGCCATTTTACAAGTTGTGTAAGGTTTTGATTTCTTTGATTTTGAGGTTTTTTAGGGTTTCTGGGGGAGGGAGAACAAGGAGGTGGAGGAGGTGAGGGGTTTGTCAGTGAGGAGGAAAATGGTTTTTGAGGATTTTTCGATTATTTGGTATTTAAGAACCAACAATAATATTTGTAATATTTTTTTGGTTTTAATTTTCCTTAAGGGTATTAAAGTAATTTACTATTAATTATTTATTATTTATTTTTTTGGTATTCAAGTAAACAAAAGTTGGGATTTGTTATAGTGATCCCATATCTTAAGTTATGAAGGAGACAATTAAAGAATACAAAAATAAAAGATAACCAATAAGATAGCCTTGTAGTGGAGAAGTCCACAAAAGTCTAGTCAGATTAAAAAAGAAAAAATCCAAAAATTCAGCCCCTCTGTTCTTATCCAAATCTTATTTAATTCCACAAAATAAACATTAAATTCATTTATTCAAACAAATTACACTTTTGTACCACGTTAAAAACTCAGCCCTCAACGGCGGCACATCGCCACAAAAAAAGAAACACAGACAAGAAAAGAAAAAAAAACAGATCTTTTTTCTTCTCCAATGGCTTCTTCTTCTTCTTCCTCACTTCAATTCCTTCTCTTTCTCACACTACTTTCTCTCACCTCTTCTTCATTTTCACAAAACCCCATCTTACCAAAAGCAGCGATTCTCCCCTTAAAGAAAGACCCCACAACTCTGCAGTACATCGCCACTGTTTTCATGGGCGGAACCCTCGCCGCCGTCGAGCTGGTGGTCGATATCAACGGCGGCTTCGTCTGGGTCGACTGCGAATCGAACCCTACTCTCAGATCTCACGAGCCCATCAAGAGCTGCTCTCTGAAGTGTTCAATGGCGAAGAATCCAGTCAACGGCTGCCACAGCGCCTCCAAGAATTGTCTTTTACACCCCGAAAACACTGTTTCGAGAATGTCGGTGTCCGGAGATCTGAACGAAGATCGAGTGGCGATGGAGTTTTGGGAGAGGAATATTGGGTCGCGCTCGTTGGCTAAAATCGAGAATTTCTTGTTCTCGTGCGCGCCGAATTTGTTGATGAAGGGTTTGGCTAGTGGCGCGAAAGGGATGCTAGGGTTAGGGAATTCTAGAATCTCGTTTCCGTCGCAATTCTCCACCGAATTCGGTTTTTTCCGTCGCAAATTCTCGCTTCGTCTTTCGTCGTCAAAGGGTTCGATTTTCTTCGGCGGGAGCCCCTACGACGAGAGCTCGATGGTGTACACTCCGTTGACTTTCTTGAAAAATGGGTTCTTCTTGCAGGATGGGTACTACATAAATGTGGGGTCAATCAAAGTTTCCGGCAAGAAGGTGTCTCTGCAGCGAAAAGGGCTTCCTTTTAAGACAAAATTGAGTACACTTGTTCCGTACACGACAATGCAGAGCGGCGTTTACCGGGCATTCGTCGAGGCCTACCTCGACGCAGCTAGTGCGATGAACATGACTCGGGTTTCGGCCGTGGCTCCGTTTGAGGTGTGTTTTGGTTCGAAAGGGGTGGGGAATATTCCCGATGTGCCGATTGTCGATCTTGTTTTGCAGAGTGAGATGGTGAGGTGGAGAATTCACGGGAGGAACTCGATGGTTGACGTTGGCGACGGAGTTTTCTGTTTAGGGTTCTTGGATGGGGGATTGAGCCCTAGGGATGCAATTGTTTTGGGGGGTTATCAGATGGAGGATTACTTGTTGGAGTTTAATTTGGGGAATTCGATGCTCGGGTTTTCGTCGTTGGCAACGGTGGAGAAGAATTCGTTGTCGGATTTCGAAGCATTGTCCGGATAATTTGTATAAGATATATATTAGTTAAGGATGTTACATGGTTTAAACACATGTAATACATAGGTAGATTTACATTAACTGAATGAATGCAACTCTTGTTTTGTACTAATTAATTTAATGAGATTTAGTTAAATTCTTGCTCTGTTTTTCTTAGTATTCACAATGGACCTCTCCATTAAAACTGCATTGTTTTTACAACTATATATATATAGCAATAAGGCCAGAAGATTTCTGTCTTAATCTAGTCAACCAGATGTGTTTATTGTTATCCCTTTCATCCTTATTTAGCTTGTAATAAGGTAAGATTAATCATCATTAATTTAATGATTGAATTAAATTGCCACCCTAAAAATACAATTGAGTGTTCAGAAGAGTTTGATTAATTTGATTTCTACCCCCTCCTAAATAGTGAAATTGCAGACCGAACTCTAGTTTCCTTGGTAGATGGCTCCGTTTACTCAGTTGGCCCCTCCGTCCATATTTTTAAGGAAATTGACGACGTCATACTAACCCTTTGGCCGAAGTTGACCATTGCGACTTTTTTGATAGACTGCAATGCCCCTGCGATTTATTTTAAGTTGCGCGGCGGTGTCAATGAAATAAATATACAAGACAAAGATCGTTTTTCCGTCCATAATGAGATATTAGAATCTTTAAGTCAAGAAGGGTATATCATTCGTTTCATATATTTTCGGATTTTTTTTTATATGTCACACGCTACGAGCCTATGTCGGTCATTGTAATCGAAAGGATCTAACATGGGACTGTTTTAATCTTTATCTTGTGTAAAGGCCTTTATCTAGAGGTCAATGCAAACGAGTCGAGTAAATTCATTATTCTTTTGATGCGCCTGTTCGACAAACTCGATGTACGCAAGCTTGTTTATTTTATGTACATACTCCCAAGGCGACGAGCGACAAATAACATGACACACAAATATTTTTAAACTCGGGGAAACCTACACATTTTCTCTTCAAGCCCATACACGGAATTTCTGCCAAACGATGCAAGATTGCACCCGGAAATGGATAAAACCGTGAGTAAAAATAGCTCATTGTATTCGAAACTTATCGACTCACGATTCCCAATGTGCTATATTTAGATATTATTACATTCTATATATAAAAACCATCAAAGTATTCCATCTTTAGTATTAGGTCAAATTAAACAATGTCTTCCTCCATTCTACTCTGTTTCTACTCTCTTTTATTTTCTCTCTCTTCCTTACCACAACGGCCGCCGGAACGCCGGCGAATCCGTTCCGCCCACGCGCCGTCGTACTTCCGGTTACCAAAGACCCATCCACCGGCCAATACCTAACCACCATCTTCCAACGAACCCCACTCAAGCCCGTCAAACTCACCGTCGACATCGGCGGCAAAGCCCTCTGGGTCGCCTGCGACCGCCGTGAGTACGCCAGCACCACCTACGCCCCCGCCCTATGCGGCTCGCCGCCGTGCGCCGTCGCGAAGTCCAAATCCTGCGACAACTGCTTCGACGGTCCCCGGCCCGGCTGCAACAACAACACGTGCTCCAGTATTGTGTACAACACCGTCGAGAGATCCGCCCAGAACGGTGAGCTGGCGACCGACGTTTTCGTCGTACAATCCACCACCGGGTCGAATCCGGGTCGGGTCGTCCGGATCCGAAACATGCTTTTCTCATGCGGGTCGCTGTTTCTCGGTGAGAAACTAGCCGTTGGGGTTAAAGGTATAGCCGGTTTCGGCCGGAGTGCCACGTCACTCACTTCACTATTATCCACGTCATTAGGAATTAATAAAAAATTCGCAATATGTTTGAGCTCTTCAAAGGGGGTTATGTTTATCGGAAGTGGGCCCTACACAATGATGCCACGTGTACAAATTTCAAATCGACTCGTGTACACCCCGCTCCTGGTCAACCCGGTGACCACCGTCCATCCGATCTTCCACGACTTCCCAGACAAATCCTGGCCGTCGATGGAGTACTTCATCGACATCGAGTCCGTTAAAATTAACGGCGAACCCGTGCCGTTAAGTCCGAGTCTGTTAAAAATCGACGCCAAGGGCAACGGCGGAACGAAGATCTCCACGGTGGCGCCGTACACCGTCCTCCACACGTCGATCTACAACGCCGTCGTTAAGGCGTTCACGAAGTCTCTGTCGAAGGTGCCTAGGGTTGCGGCGGTGGCGCCGTTCGTCGGCGGGCCGTGCTACAAGGCGGCGAGCCTCGGCAGCACGCGGCTGGGGGCGGCGGTGCCGGCGATTGAGCTAGGGCTGAGGAACAACGTGACGTGGACGATGTTCGGGAGGAATTCGATGGTGTACGTGAACAACAGCGAGGTGGTGTGCCTGGGGTTTGTGGATGGAGGGAAGAAACCTAGGACCGCCATTGTTGTCGGCGGGCACCAGCTTGAGGATAACTTGTTGGAGTTCGATGTTGAAAGAAATAGGTTTGGTTTCAGTTCTACGTTGTTGGGGCTTCAAACAACGTGTGCCAACTTCAATTTTACTTCTGTTTAATTAATTAAATCCAGCTTCAGAGTTAGTTTAATTTGTTAATTAGTGATAATCTGCTAATTAAGTTTGTTCTGTTTGATTTCTTGTCATGATGTAGTAGTAATACTCTGTTTGTTGTGTGTAATATACTAATATTATGTAGAATGTACACATAGTTGACGGTGTAATCTAGTGCCCTAATGAATCTTGTATTTTAATTTTTTTGAATAGTAATATTTTACATTTTAGGGTAAATCAAGTCCACCCCTATCGGAAGATTAAATTACGAAAACCCCCTTCTGTCTGGGTAATTACAACCTTCATCTCAACTATAAATTTTTTTACACATCCTTCCTTCAAGCAACTCCAATGCTAAACATCAAAATTGGATTATCAAATACTCATTTGATAATTAAGATAATATTTTAATATTCATTTATAGTTTATCTACTCCGACCATGGTCATTAAAATTAATAATCAATTGGAAGTTTTTTAGTATTTTTTATTTGTAATTGCCACGTGTCATTTTGTGATTGGATGTTTAGGTGGTTACTTTTTTGATAACTCAATTTCCAGGATGTATTTTTACACACAAAGAGGTAGAATATCAAAATACTTACCTATTTTGATACTCCCATTGGAGTAGAAATTTTTAATTTTGGGATATAAAAAAGGTGGTTTATGGATTTGATAATCCATTTGATACTCTCATTGGAGTTGCTCTTACAGTGTCAAATTCAGTTGAATCTTTTAAATGGTATGAAATATTCTCCATTTTGTATCCGTTTTATCCTCTTCGAGCTCCACATTTTAAAGCAGGATAATCATAAAATGTGTGCATTCGTTTGTAAATATCAGATTGTAGTGCATCATAAACTGTATTTTTGCATAAAACGAATGTTTAAGAAAACTCATAATCAAAGGTTTTTTCATAATTTGATACTAATTCACCTTTAGCCTACATTTTAATAGCACAAGTTAATTTGAGGAGAGCCTAATAAATTTGTCAGAAAAGTCAAACTACGTTGTTTCTAAATTCAAACTAAATCCAAACAGTCAACTAGCCATAGTTGTCCAGATCCAGAGTTTATCAACTTCATAATCATTTAATCCATTTCTATCTACAATTAAAAAGTCAACGAGCAAATCATTTAATGATATCTCAGTTCTTTATTCTATGGTAAATCTTGATCGGAAAAATTAATTCTTTGTAAGAAAGTCAAACAGCCAACACACAGCCCCTCGAAGCATAGAGAGCCATTGTACTAAGTCAACTATTTCTAGTGGGAGTGGAAAATAAAAAAAATACTATACACATTTCTTTATTTACTTTTGTCGAGTCATCTCATCGAATTTACGAACCGGCTCAGTTCGTTTACGGCCCCATACGATTGGTCATAAGTAACTTTAAGTTGTAACAAGTTTTGAGTCTCTATTAAACACAATGAATTTTACTATAAAGTCGAGTTCGAGTTTATTATACACCTCATCTCGATGAAATAAATAATTAAAATATATAATCAATTTATTGCATGGCATATTTATTTATTAATAATATACAAGAATTTAATATTGATCATGAGTTCTTTGTCTTATATGTGATATGTCGGTAGAGAAACTGTATACTAACTTCTAGGGAAGATTGCACTTCACCCCTAAAAAAATGTCTTTTTTGCATTTCCCCCTGAAAATATAAAAACAAGATTGTCCCCTTTCGAAATATACAACTCGGTGAACTTTGCCCCGAATTTGTATTTCCGATTTAATTCTTGATAGGTTTGAGTAAATTGGAAGGGTAATTTCGTCTTTTTAAGCTTTAAATGTCATTTAAACTTTTTTCACCCTACATTACAATGATTACGAATTTGGAAGAAATTTCATCTATTTGAGAAGAGAACTTTGCTAATTTGGGAACCCTAAGTAACTCTGAAATAAGGATTCTCAAGCAGAAGATGTCAAATGACATATACACCCTTCACTCGGTGAGAATTAGATCGAAAATACATATTTGGGGCAAAGTGAACCGAGTTGCATATTTCGAAGGGGAACAACCTCATTTTTTGTATTTTGACGGGGAAAGTGCAAAACAAGCATTTTGTAAGGGGGTGAAGTGCAATTTTCTCTAACTTCTATATTTATACCTCAACTTAACGATGAACCACCACTAATTAAAATTTTAAAACACCCCATGAAGACGATGAAAAATCCAGTCATTCTTTTCCTGATCTTGATCGCATCAGCTCAAATCCCCACCACCGCCGCCGCCACACTGGTGGCGCCGCTCAAAAAGGACACCGCCACCTCCCTCTACACAATAACCCTCAACTCCGGCGACCGCTACGCCGTCGACCTCAGTGCCCCATTCTCCTGGCGCGTCTGCCCCACGCGCCGCCGACCCACGGCGGTGCCCTGCTTCTCCACCGAATGCATCCAAGCCACCTACCTCCTCTCCCCCACATGCTCCCTCCCAATCACCCCACCACCGCCGGAAACCACCCCCTGCACCGCCTGTACAGTCACCCCTATAAACCCAAGAACCAAATCATGCGCCTCCGCCCAACTCACCACAAAAACCCTAACCCTATCTTCCACCAATCCAACGGCCAAGATTACCTTAAACAACACGTTTTTATCATGTGCTCCAAAACCCCTTCTGCAATCTCTCCCAAAAGGAGTTGTCGGCTTAGCAAGCCTTTCTTTAGCTCCATTATCTCTCCCATCTCAACTCTCCGCAAATCTCGCACTTTCTAGAAGTTTCGCAATTTGCTTGCCGAGCACAAATTCCGCAAACGGCGTCGTTTTCTTCGGAGACGGGCCCTACAAACTTCTCCCGCCGACAAATTTCGACGCGGCGGATCTTCTTTCCTACACGCCGATGCTTCGAAACCCTAAAACCGCGGATTACTTTATAGGAATCAAGTCGTTGTCAATAAACGGAAACTCCGTAATTACGATGTCGCCGTTCGAAGGAATCAAGATCAGCACGTTCGTACCTTACACGACTCTTCGGAGAGACGTTTACAAACTCTTTCGTAAATCTTTCTTGAATTCGATGAAGAATATTCCCCGTACTAAGAGTGTGAAGCCGTTCAACACGTGCTTCAATGCTACCGCAATAGGGTTTAGTCGAGTGGGGTTGCATGTGCCTCAAATCGATTTGGAGTTTGCTAATGGCAAGAATTGGACAATTTACGGGGCGAATTCGATGAAGCAAGTAGGCGGCGATTCGGCTTGTCTTGCGTTTTTGGATGGCGGGAAAATGGCGGAGTACTCGATAGTGATCGGCTCGTTCCAAATGGAGGATAATTTCTTGTTGTTTGATATCGATCGATCTAGGCTTGGTTTTAGTTCTTCCTTGTACTTTGAAAGGATGACGTGTAATGGTTTCAATTTTACATCTAAGGTTTGATTTTTCAACTTATGTTGTTCTAGATTTGTTTGTTCATCCTTGTAATATAAGCATATGTAACAAGATTTTGAACAGCTGCCTATTACGATAGTTGGTACCTAGCCTTTACTCTTCAAAATTTGAATTTTAAAAAAAATATACATATATACATATAAAAAAAAAGTAAAATCAAGATTTTGTTTGTACGTAGGATGATATATATAATCGTCAAACGTGTGTGAAAATCTCCGACTCGTCTTTGTTCGTAAGCATGCAATGAACGTGAACGAGTGTGAAATGATGTTACGTGCACCGAAAACTATTGAGTTCTAGGTAATGGATAATTGAGAAGCAGTTAGAAATTGAACTAGTCAGCCTTGTCTTATTTACATGGACATAGAAAAAGCATGAGTAACTTGTCCATGCATATATATACATATACACACATATATATATACACACATATATATAGATATATATAGGAGAAACACAAGTATTGTGTGTTTTAAGCCAACAAATTAACAGCCCCTCTTTTCCAGCTTCTCAAGTTTGAAGTGCATATAGGAAGAAAAACTCATCACCCAATGCAAATTTTGTATCTATTTTTCGCATCAATCTTTTAAAGATTTACGCAAAAGAAAAAAACGAAAGACAAAAATCATGAACGATCAAGAATTTGGAGACACCACTACAGAAATGAGAGCTTGTCCGAACTCCCCTTGCAAAATCGACTCGACTCTTGTCCGAATGGTAAGAATGTGAAAATGATTAGGCCCATTATTTAATTTTTTTTCAAAAAAAAATCGAAGAAAAAAGAAAATGCTGATGTCATTTTGAAAAAAAAAAAAAAAACCCGCAGGTGTTGGCGGAGGCTATAGGTACGTTCGTTTTGATCTTCTGCATTGGAGGAATAGTAGCAAACTTGCGTCTTATGGGAATCGAAGGAGGGCTAATGGAATATGCCGTGACAGCTGGCTTAACGGTAGTGGTCATAGTTTTCTCCATAGGATCGATTTCCGGTGCTCATGTTAATCCAGCTGTCACCATCGCCTTCGCCGCAGTCGGTCCTTTCCCATGGTTTAAGGTAACAAAAAAAAGAAAAAACTAATAATATTAAAAATAAAAAAGTGATTCTAGTTAAGCTGATCCTCACCTTAATTTTCTTGTTTTTTTTTTCAAGGTTCCGTTTTATGTAATCGCACAAGTTGGTGGTTCGATTTTAGCAACATATACGGTGAGATTAGTGTATGGTATCGAATCGGAGCTAATGGTGACTAGACCACTACATGGATTAAAAGCTGCTTTTTGGGTGGAGCTTATTGCAACCTTCATTGTTCTGTTTTTAACTACATCATTATTCAATGAGCCACAATCTGTAAGATCATATCTATATATATATATATATATATATATATATATATATATATATATATATATATATATATATATATATATATAAACACTTCTGCATATATATATATTCCTTAAAAAAATTGCAAAAAATGTGTTACATTATTTTAATTTGCAGCTAGGACAGCATTTGTCTGGATTTCTTGCTGGAGTTGCAATATGTCTAGGAGTGCTAATCACCGGGTAAATTAAATATTAAATAAAAGTTTCGTTCGATTAAATTATGACCCGTTTTTTATTTTTTATTTTTCGATGAAACGACAGGCCGGTTTCGGGAGGGTCGATGAATCCAGCAAGGTCAATAGGACCGGCGATTGTTTCGTGGAGATTCGATCACGTGTGGATATATATTGTGGGCCCCACTATCGGAGCAATTGCAGGTGTTTTCGTGTATCGAGTTTTACGTTTACAGGGATGGGCTTGCAAATTATCTAATCCTGCTTCACAGAGTGCCATTAGCTCTCTGCATTAGAATTCGTAACAAAAACTATAAATAGAGAATCCATTGGCTTTTCAATATTTCGAAATATTTAATTTGATATATATATAAATATAATTTAAAGATTATGTGGTGCTAAAGAAAAAAATGATGCTTGCTTTCGGAAGTGATTTCTTCTGATTAAAATTAACTTTTATTTTACAAATTAAAATAGATATAAGTTGCGTTCTTTGAATCTTGTACAATTCCAAGATTAAATCAGATTAAAATAGATACTATACATATGGCTTAATTCCACTTTACATCATCGAAATGTACAATTCTGCACTTTGCACCCTCGAACTTGAAAATTAAATCTTGTTATATAAAAATGATGATGCTAATTACTTAGATCACCAGAGGTAGTGTAGAAAACGAACTGGCAGAGCAAAGCGAATCAGTAGCTTGGCAACTTGATGATCCTGAGGTACCTGCGATCACAAAACACGTAAACTAGGTCGGGGGTTGATCCGGCGGAAACCCCTCCGACGCTCAAGTCAGACGTGCTGATAGTGAAAATAGTCCAGAGAATACAGTTAATAGTATTGCTCAGTTAATAATAGGACGTACCTTAAGGAATGAGTTCAAACCTTTATTTATAGCTTAGTTGAGATTGTCGGGCCCAAACCTTATTTGAAGGTGATTGGGCCTCGATGATAGTGGTCTTCGATATTGGGCTCGTGGCCAAGTAGGTAAATAATTAGTAGGCCCATTAGGTTGGGCCAATTAGGCATATCATTAAGCCCCCCACTCTCGAGTCGATGTGGGAGCCATGTTGAAATGGGTTCTCGATCGTGTCGAGAGTAAAAATTGTAGTGGTCGCTCTTTGGCATATGGCCTGATGGTGTGCGAAAACGTGTTGGAGCGTGTGTCGGAGGGGCGTGATGGCGCGTTGGCGCGTAGCGCGACCAAGTTGTCGCGATGAAAGTTACTTGAGTCGTCGATGTTGTTCCGCGACGATGTAGTAGCGAATTATCTCCTCGTGGGAGTTGTCTCGTCGCGGGGTAATAGAGTTGATCGAGTTATCTCCTCGTGGGAGTTGCCTCGCAATAATGTAGTAGCACGGATCAAGTAATCTCCTCGTGGGAGTTGTTATTCATTGACATTGTCAATGTTTCGACGCGTTGCTCGTATGTGTTTACATATAGCCTTGTGCGTGATGTACTTGAGGATGAGATCAAGCTCTCAAGATTTTTTTTTTATGGGGATCGTGCCCCTTGTTAGACCTCGTAGGTTGTAAGTATGTTTGGACCGTGGCCACGTTTTAATGAAGGACCCGTCGAAAACAAATAAAGAAATTTGAGTAGTCAAGCTGGTCAGGCTAAATAGATTCCCATAATATCTCTAAATGTTTCTAAGGTTGTAATCGTGCTAACTCGAGTTTGCGATTGTGTAGTGAATTGCGAGCGAGTTGTCTCCTCCGGAGAGTTGTCTTACAGCGAAGTTGTAGGAGCATTGGATGACGCGCAATTGAGGAGCGTACGGATTGAAGTCGCTCTGAGCGAGTTATCTCCTCGTGGGAGTTGTCTCGCAGCGAGTCTTATTATCGAGCGAGATGGCTGCACGTGGGAGTTGCCTTGCAACGGATTTATAGTGCCGAGCGAGTTGACTCCTCGTGGGAGTTGTTCCGCTGCGGGTTAGGGTACCGAGCGAGTTGGCTCCTCATGGGAGTTGTCTCGCTGCGGGTTCGTAGTACCGAGCGAGTTGGCTCCTCGTGGGAGTTGTCTCGCTGCGGGTTGTAGTACGGAGCGAGTGGTCTCCTCGTGGGAGTTATCTCGCTGTGGTTTTGAGACCCGAGGGAGTTGGCTCCTCGTGGGAGTTGCTTCGCAACGGGTTATAGGACAGAGCGTGGTCTCCTCGTTGGAGTTATCTCGCTGTGGTTTCGTAGACCCGAGGGAGTTGGCTCCTCATGTGAGTTGCCTTTCAAGGGGTTCGTAGTGTCGACCGAGTTGGCTCCTTATGAGGATCTTGTTGGCTACGTGATCTGGTTTGCATCGTTCCCACAGACGGCGCCAAAATGATGATGTTAATTACTTAGATCACCTGAGGTAGTGTAGAAAACGAACTGGCAGAGCAAAGCGAATCAGTAGCTTGACAACTTGATGATCCTGAGGTACCTGCGATCACAGAACACGTAAACTAGGCCGGGGGTTGATCCGGCGTAAACCCCTCCGACGCTCAAGTCAGACGTGCTGATAGTGGAAATAGTCCAGAGAATACAGTTAATAGTATTGCTCAGTTAATAGGACGTACCTTAAGGAATGAGTTCAAACCTTTATTTATAGCTTAGTTGAGATTGTCGGGCCCCAACCTTATTTGAAGGTGATTGGGCTTCGGTGATAGTGGTCTTCGATATTGGACTCTAGGCCCAGTAGGTAAATAATTTGTAGGCCCATTAGGTTGGGCCAATTAGGCATATCAAAAAAGAATGCACAATTTTTTTTTAATCAAAGACCTACCGAACAAATAATTTACTGAGAGAATTTTATCAAAAATATCGATTTGTGTGTAATGTGAATGATTTATTACCTTTTGGGAGTGTAAAGTGCTATTAAATTGTTTCTGGGGTGCAAAGTGTCAAAATGGTATTTTTAGGGCCCAAAGTGAAATTAAGCCTGTACAGACATTTTGTAAGTCCATGTCAAAATATTGGGCTAACAATAAAGCCCATGTCAAATTTTCATTTTGTAAGTCCATGTACAATTATATTTGATATTATTAAAATTTGTAACTATATTATGTATTTATATATTAAAAAAATAACTTTCAATTTCATCGACATAAATGGCAAACATAATCGGATATTGACATTTGATTCTTTATTCTTTCTGTCATCTTCGTTTGTGTGAATGAAATATCATGGGCTACTACAATTATTAATAATTTTATTATTATAATATTTTTTTAAGAAAATAGGCTACTAATTAATTTATTGGAATTAAAGCGGCAAATGTTTGGAACATTGTATGAGAACAAACACTTAATCCAAAATTAAGCTTATAAGTTGTTAAAAATAGCTTATAAGATGTTAAGAGCTTATCTGTTATTTAAAATTAAAGATGTAAGAGCTAATCAACTGTTTAAAATAAATTTAGAAACGAGGTAAAGTGACAACCCAAGAATACAATTGCCTTTTTTATTCTTCTTTAAATACTATATGATATGCAATTTGAAACAATTGTGTCAATTTAGAGAGGTAATTAAACTAACAATGGGTTACTTTCAAACAAGAGAACATCTACTCCACTAATAATTTTTTTTTTTGAATTAACTACTTATTGGAGGGTGTAAATTAAAATTAAAATAAAAATAATGTCTCCCATCCAATAATTTAGGGGTGGAGCAAAACCAATTACAAGTTTTTTGAACCACTTTTTGAAAGAATCCAAAACAATTAGAAGAATTAGATTTTCTTTTTTTTCTTTTTTTTTTCTTAATCTTAGTTTAATGAAAATTGTGTTTTGATCCCCTCATTATACAATTGTCTCTCGTAAGGTTGCATAATTTTATCTTGGTTAATAATACCTTTACAACTAAATATCGATTTATATTATTGATTTTCATTAAAAGATCCATGTAAACTATGTATGTTTGGTTGCTCCGATAAGATATCCAATCTTATGAGAGTTCAATTAATTTTTAATCGAGCTGGAAAATTACAATACGCAATTTTCCAATAAACTGTGATCTCTTCTTCTTCTCCTTAATCGATGGCCGGCGACTTAATTTTAAAACATCGAACTACTAACCAAACATAACATAAGGTTCAATTATTTAATTAATCGTGATAAAGTTAACTTTTAAACAATCTCCGAACTTATCTATCTCGTTGCACGAATACGTCATCCGTAACATTAAAATAGTAGAAATAGAATACAATAGTACCTCAAAAAGATAATAACCTGGATTAAATAATAGTTTCTTTCGGTCCCGACTCGGTGAAAACATGTTAAATTATTAACTCGATAATTTAATAATTTGCTAAATTAATAGAATTTTTCTAGTTCCGACTATATTAATTTATAGAGGTTTATTATTTTTTTATTGTTTATTTATTTTTTATCCCCTAAAAAAGTAAAAACTCTAACAGGTTGAATTTTTTTTACCCAATATTAAGACATCTTGTTGAAGATCTGACTCATATCCTACAAATGACTAGAATATGATTCAATTAAGATATCGACACATGAATATTTAAATGGTCCAAAATCCCCTAATTATGGGAAGTGGGAATATTCCATGCTATTATTTATTCTTAAATAAAAATAAATACTATGGTTTAATTTTTTTTTTTACACATATATTAAGAAAATCATTAAAAGTGATTGAATCTTAAAAATATGTATATAACAATTAACAAATATTGTTGTAAATGGAGAGTATATTCATTATTGGTATATAATATAATTAATTGAATAAAAAAAATCGACACAGTTTATATTTGATCTAGGAAAAAAAATTAAAAAAAAAAATCAGTAATGTACAACCTTTTGAAGCGCACTGCAGAAATTGGTGGTACTTTGGCGGGGAATTTGATTCCGTGACGTCACTCTCCACTAATCGAGCAGTTGTACCCAAGGTCAATGGAAATGGAAGAAGATGTGGTTTACACTTTGCCCAATTGTGACTTCTATCCATACTTTAATCATGGCCTGTATCTGTTTGTAGATTTTATTTTTTTATTTTTTTTATTAATAAAAAAATGAAAATTTTTGTTGGATTTTAATTTTATGTTTTGAATATAATTTTAAATAATAGACTCTGGAAATTAGTAGGATTTTAATATAGACTCGAAAAATTAAATACCAACCCTCATTAGGAGAGTTGGTACCTAACATTTACCAATAGGATAATAGTCTAGGGTTCGAGTCCCTCACTCCCCTATTTTCCCCTTGTAATGGACTTGAATTTCCAAAAAAAAAAAATGATATTGACACATATAATATATTTTAGTAAGTTTTAAAATATCCCACCAAAAAATGAATAAATAAATAAATGTCACTTTTTCTTGATTTTATAATGAAATATCCTTTTCATATTTCATTAAGAGTAAATAACAACCACCTCCCTCAGGTAAAATTTTATGGAAAAACTCTTGTTTTTAAGAAATTACATTCAGCCATCTGCAGTTTGTAAAAAATTCTACATCCACCCTTTAAAAGGGGTGTTTATGCAAGAAATTTACAAATAACTATAGGAGGATGCAAGTATGTAAAAGTAAGGGGTTTTTTTGTAAATAGACATTACCTCATTGTGGTGATTGTAATTTACCATTTTATTAAAGATGAAAATGACAAAAAAAAAAAAAAGAAAAAATTCAAAATAAATAAATAAATAATGAAGAATAATAGGATAAAGGCAAGTGGCAAAGGTGACTGTCAATTTGCCCATACATCACTAAAAAAACCGGGTCCCTCCCCAATTCTATGGGCGTCAATGTCACCACTTTGTAAATGTCTATGCATTTTTTTTTTTACTAAAAACCCCTCATTCAATTGGTAAATTTGACGCTATAAGTGTGGATGTGTAAGACAATATATAGTTGAAAATGATGGTTGTAATTACTCAAACAAGAGGGATTTTTTCGTAATTCAATCATACCTTAGGGGTGGTCGTAATTTGCCCCTTATTTTTTTTATGAAATTCCCATTATTATTTTAATTAGTTTTATATCTAATTATATTTATTTACTTCTAAATGATATATGTATAAATATCATTAAATAAAAATATAGGGTAAATTACAACCACCCCTGATGTATGGTCAAATTACGAAAATCCCCCTCTTGTTTGGATAATTACATCTACCCCTCAACTATAAATCTTCTTACACACCCACCTTTATGGTGTCAAATTCAACATAATTATCTAGATTTCATGGAATGTGCTCTAGTTTGTACTCGTTTTGTGTAAAAAATACAGTTTCTGATGCACCACAATCTGATATATACAAGCCAAAAAATTGCATCTTATGCTTCAAGATGTAGAGTTCGAATGGATAAAACGGGTACAAAAGTGATAATATTCCATATAATCAAGAAGATTCCACTGAATTTAAAACCACAAGAATGGACTTGTAAGAAGATTTATAGTTGGGGGTGGTTGTACTTGTAGTTACCCAAACAGAAAAGAGAATTTTCGTAATTTAAACATACGTGAGGTTGTTTGTAATTTACCCAAAAATATATGCGATTTGAAATCATGTTCCATCAACTTGGCTTAGGATATGTCTTATTTCATGATTCCACATAACTCAAAAGAAGTCGTCACATGAATTGATTCTAATCAACCTTAATATTATAAAAATCTAATATTAATTAATCTATTAATTATGTACTATTAGTTTTATGATTTGATTAAGACAAATTTCATGAACATGGAATTTTAGTACATAGAAAACTGTGGGCCCATCCATCCGTGGTTTTAGAAGTTAGAAACTTGGACCCGCATGTGTTATTATAGTAATTAAATTAGTAATTAGCAAAATATTTTGTCAATCTTTAAAAATGATAAATTACAATTTCCCCCCTAGGACCGTTCTATTTACAAAAAAGTCCCTAATTTTTTTCATATTTATATCATTCTCTGCAATTTGTAGATTTTTTAAGTTAACACTCTTTTGTAGGGGGTGATGTAAGAAATTTACAAATTACAGGGCGATTGAATGTAATTTCTCAAAAGAAATGATTGTTTTTGTAAGATTTGTTCGACCCTACACTCGGTGAAAAACATCGGGTGGGTCTTCTGCTGCCACGTGTCCTTTTTTTGTATTTTATAATATATTCCCCGCTAGGGTTTACCTTAGGGGTTTTAGAAAAATAAAAAAAAAGGAACACGTGGCAGCAGAAGACTCACCCGGTGTTTTTCACCGGGTGTAGGATCGAAGGAGTCTTTTTGTAATTAATTTTTTTTCCGAGAGAGGTGGTTGTAATTTGCCGTTTTATGCTATTGTAGTTCAGGCCTCAGGTTAATTTGGCGCAACTATTGTTTTTATACTATTATATTATATTTTATTTATTTTAAAATAAAACTTTTTTGTTTTCCAAATTTCCAATTGCATATACTTATTTTAGTACAACAAAAGGTATTTCGTATTATTTTGAAATAATTCTCAATTTTTTGGATGGATAATATTTTGTAAATAAGAAAGAGATAAGATTTGAATTGATCGTTCTCGTATGGTGCCATCACTGCCTGTAACTGTGGGCCGTTGGTAATACCATATAATAAAATAATAATATTCAACAATTATTGCATTTGATGATATTATTATTATCAATATTATTAAATAGAATATACAAATATATATGGTGAAATATTAATTATTTTATGCTATCTTGTTATGTATTCTGTCAAAGTCAACGATACAATTCGTATCCTAATTCCTAGCTGCTTTAACATCAATTATTGTGCTTGTTAATTCATCAAAAAATGATAATAGAAAACACTAAAATAATTAAATACCATCATTTATTTATTTTTAAATGAAAAATATACAATAATATCAAGAACTAAATAAGAGATGTAGTAATTTAATTCGTAGAATTAAATCTAGGCTCCATTATTGGTGTGTGCGCGTGTGAGAGAGAGAGAGAGCTAAGATATTGAGAAAATTGTTACATCAATGGTGAATATTTAGGTTATGACGAAAATCACCATATAATTTTTGAATTTTATCGATTCTAATTTACACATTTATGATTTTGGAATAATGTTTTTTTTTTCATTCTACATTTCTAAAACTTCAATTTCCAATTTTTATGATTTTTTAATCGAAATTGGAATATATACTAGATTCAAATTTTCGATCCGATTTTAAATTCTAAATTTTGGTTTCGAAAGCGTATTTATTTCTCATTCTAATTTTCAAAATTTTGATTTCCAGATTTATGACCACACTTCAAACAAAATTGGGATTGATTTCTTTTATTTTCCTTTAAAAAATAAATAAAAATATTTATTCCGATTATATCCCTCCAATTATCGGATCTAAATTTAGGGTAAGAACCACGTCTTTATCTCTCTACATCAAAATTCCACTACTAGCAGTAATTTAGGTTAGTAGGTATTATTATAGGTTTGAAAAGTGGGAAAAGATGAATAGTGTATTTCTATTGGAAAAAATGTTAAGAAAAATAGGAATTTCCAAGTGAAAATCCTCAAACAAACATAATCCCGGTTTTATGTATAGTATAAAACTGGAAAGTGAGTTTAGAAATAGAACCAAACGTACCCTTTATCTCTCTACATCAAAATTCCACTACTAGCAGTAATTCACCTTTGTTTGGTTTTGAATCTTACTTCATACGACTTTCAAACCATTTGTTAACAGGCCTTTTTCTGGGGAATTATCATGTAGAATTAGCATTTATTTAATCCCGTGCATTTATTTAATTCACTTAAAAAAAAAATCATTTCATTAAAATAAAATATTTTATTATAAAAAATAATAATTTATTGAAATAAAAATGGTTTAGATAGTTTAAACAATAGCCAAATAGGGATTTGACTGTTAATTCATACTTAAGTGATGACTAAAAAGTAAAGGGTAAATAACACTCAAGACTTAACCCATGTGGTTACATAATTTTGCGCAGATGACCCCCTTCTTCTTTTATTTTTGCAAATGACCCTCTTGAAGTTTGTTCCACGAGATTATGTTTGACGGAAAAACTAACGGAACTTAGCCCATCAACCAAATGGGGATATTAAATGTATAATGGGGATCATCTACAAAAGTTTGTAATCGCACGGGGCTAAATGCTATTTAACCAAAACTAAATATAGAGAAGAATCCAGACCACGTGGCAGAATCTCCGTTGTCACTTGTAAAACTCTGGAACAAACCACACGCCACACAGGATGATTCCCCCTTCTCCTCTCTCCTTTGCTTTTACCTCCAGTGCCTGACACGTCACCTAATAATCCAAAACTCAGGTGGGTCCCAGGTAAGGTAACCTCAACTTCAGACGCACGGGAATAATCGCCCATCCGTGGACCCCACCCTTGTACATAATAATTACACAGTACTCCATTTTTAAGGGTTAATATCAATCGACCTCCTGAATTAATACTTGTTTTATGTATAGCCCCTCAAATTTCAGGAAATTATACTTCACTCCCTTAAGCTGCTTTTGGGATTTTATTGTCCTCTCAATCATAATGATGAAATTTACACATGAAGAATTTTGTTTATGTTTTAATGTAAAAAGAATATCAATTTCAAATCGATATTTTGAGTACACTAGAAAATAGTATAGAATATTCATTAGGTAATAATCTTAGTTGTTTCTTTAATTCTTTCCACGGTTTCTTACTTCGAGTATTTCATTTTCGGGTCGTGGTCACGTAATTGACATATAGTTTGAATATATATGTTCAAAATCCGAAAAAATAATTTATTAGAGAAAAATTAATTTTCACTGTTTTCATTTTGTTTAAATAAACGTTATTTGTTCCTTGAATTTTTGTTAAACAATTCTGTTTGCGAAGTGGTTTTAATTATACATTTTTTTCAATATTAACAATACTTCGAAAGTAGATTCGTTGTTACGAATTATGAAACTATAACTCAAAATCAGACCAAACTATTCGATACTCAGTTCGATATGGTTTCTTAAAATTTTGTTTAAGCTAAATCTGTTAACATGAAAAACTCAAGTTAGACATATATTTTCGTTCACTGAGCTATATGAAGTTCAGCTCGAATTGGAGTTCGACTAGAAAAAGAAGAAGTACATATAGAAAATCAATCTATTCGATTCGTGTTCGCCTCGATTATTTTCTGAGCTCAACTCGATTAGTGACCAAACAAACACAAATACAACTTTGAAAGTTTGATGAAAATCCAAAAAAAACTTGAACAAACATGCGTTGGCTAGTGTTGTACAAACAAGTGTACTACATTTTTATACTTATTGATTTAAGGGAGTAATATGCAAGTTGATATTACTGTAAGGAGTGAATTGCAAAGTTGTTACGACTTTATAAAATTTCCCTTGAAATTACAAAATCACCCTCGCCTTTCTTTCTATAAATCCGAATAGCCCCTAGCCATATTTCCTCTCCATTCCATTTCCAGTCCCTTAATACTATACATACATCTTTCTGTCTGTATATACACAGTCTAGAGAGAGAGAGAGAGAGAGAGAGAGAGAGAGAGAGAAGATGTTAGGGATATTCAGCAGCTCGATAATGTCTCCGCCGGAGGATCTGGTGGCCGCCGGGAGCAGGACTCCATCGCCCAAAGTGACGGCGGCGAAGCTGGAGGCGCGGTTCCTGGAGGCGAACTCATCGGCGGTTTCCGTTCGGATCGGCGATGATGTCCAGCTGGCGTATACTCACTGCAACCAGTCTTCTTTACAGCCCAGGTATATATATATATATATATATATATATATATATATATATATATATATATATATATATATATATATATATATATATATATATATATATATATATATACACACACATATATATATATATATATATATATATATATATATATATATATATATATATATATATATTACTGCACTTGTAAGAAATTATAAATTGCGAAAATTATTAACTGTTAAGCCTCAATAAATTAATATAGTTCGGATCAACAAAAATTCTATTAATTTAGTAAAATATTAAATTATCGAACTTTAATTTAATACGTTTTCATCGAGTCAGAACCATGATTAATTTGTCGATGTTATACCGGTGTAACTTAACTCCACACTTTTGAATATCACAATTAAGTTAAAATACACGCTTTTTAAGAATTTTACGATTTTAATTTTGATAATTTATTTATTTATTTATTTATTTATTTTCTATTCGTCATAAATAAAATAAAAGAAGATGTAATAATAAATGAAAGATGCTTTCTTAGATTCAGGTCCATAAACATTTTTGTGTGTGTATATTTATGGGTCCTGATTTTCTTGCATGTATGCCACGTATTGGGACACAAATCCAGATTTTTCTCAGCTGTTCGATCCGGTCTAGTCTAGTAACATTTTGACCCGGCCCATACCCGCCTTGGAAGAATCGGATCCACAAACCTTTTTTCCATATGGTGAAACAACTTTTTTTGGGTAAATTTTAGGAAAATACATGAAGATAAGGTTGGTTGAGATCTATATATTTGAAGACTTGAAAACATACGGGGCTGTGGTGGAGAAAGCATAGGGCCGGGGGCCATGGCCCCCCAACTTTCTCAAATTTTTATTAATTTATATATAAATTTAAAAAATTTGTGTATAGTAGCATTAACGGTTCCTCCAAATAATTTATTTTAATCGGTCCCATCGGACTTTAAAATTCTGGCTCCGCTACTAATATATAGGCCATGCCTAATATACATATCTATATTCATGTTTAGACTTTGGTAGGTGCTCTTATTTTGTTTGTATAAATTTGTTTAAATGAAATGGTGGACCTCATTCTTATAATGAAAAAGGACTTGTAACTAATTACTTAATAGTTAATTTTGAAACCTAACTAATATTGTCGGGTGATAAAATGGCGCAGATTATTTGCGGTTAAGGACGAAATTTTCTGCCTATTCGAAGGATCACTCGACAATTTAGGGAGCCTTAAGCAACAATACGGGCTTGCAAAATCCGCAAACGAGGTTCTTTTGGTAATCGAGGCTTACAAAACGCTTCGTGATCGAGCACCTTACCCTCCGAACCACGTTGTGGGCCACCTCCAAGGGAACTTCGCCTTCATCGTTTTCGATAAAACCACCTCTACTTTATTTGTTGCTACCGTGAGTAATTTATTATATATGTGTGTATATATAGACATTATTAATGAATTGCCTAATTAATATCTTACCAACTAATTTATTTATGTTTTTGGTGGTGGTGTGACAGGACCAACAAGCTAAGGTTCCTCTTTATTGGGGAATCACTGCCGATGGATGTGTCGCGTTTGCTAACGATGCCGACTTGCTCAAGGGTGCTTGTGGGAAATCGCTCGCTTCTTTCCCACAAGGTGAGCAGGGGCAAAATCGCCATTTTTATAAAAAAAAATATTAAAATCTTTTTTTGTTTTTCAAGAATCATGATTATTTTGATTGATTTTTTGCAGGATGCTTCTTTTCGACAACGGTCGGGGAACTTAGAAGCTACGAGAACCCGAAAAATAAGATTACGGCCGTTCCTGCACTAGAGGAAGAAATATGGGGGGCCAGATTCATGGTAATTTCTTGATTCTTTCTCAATTGTTAATTAAACAATATATATTTTGGTATATTTGCAAAGATCCCAATGGCATATTTAATTCCGCCATGTAATCTATTGCTAGTGGACCCGTTTCTTCGATGGTGGCCATGCTCTCGATTACATAATGAACGCTACACTATTAATTAATAATTTGTCCAAGTCGTCACGAAAACGATGGTCGTGTTTATTTAAAAAGACCGTAATATAGCCAAGTCAAGTAAGGTCCCAACTTTTCTTTACAGCCAACCAAATTAGTTCACTGTGGCGGAGCCAGCATACGGCCACTGGTGTAGTGGTCCCACAATTTTTCAAAAAAGAAAGAAAAAAGTAGATAGGAATTTGTTATTTTACGACTAATGTGTACTATTATGCATGAATGAAAACCCGAAGAGGGCTGCTAAAATTGATCAATTGTACATTTGAATATGTAATACGTGCTTATTTTGGTTGAAAAACCCGACAAATACTCGACCTTATAAAGTAATTTCTAGCATCCATGTATCTTCGTTTTTTCCTACTTTTCAACGATTAATTGATTGCGTGTGTCGATGAAATTTCAGGTGGAAAAGCCGAGCATAATTGCAGCCACAACAAAGTAGATCATATGAAATATTGGTGGTGATGAATAAATAATCTTATCTTTTATGTTCATTGAAAGAGAAAGATAGGCCTTATTGTGGTGGTGGAGGAGTAAGTGAGAGCCATGTAAATAAATGGAGGAGAGTCGTTTGTTTAATTTGCTTTTCTTTTCGATGTTTTCTTAAAGCGTGTTTTTCGTAGTTGTATAGTCGCTTTTTTCTAGGTGTGTAATGTAATAATAAAGTTTGGTTCACATGTTCGAACTAATGGAACACTGCGTTTCACTTATTATACGTTTTCTCTTTCTATGTACATTATTCGATACTCGATTGGAGATCGTTTTTTAGAAGCTTGTTTAAGTTCGGTTTCTGAAATAGACCACAAAATTTGAACACTTTCGATAAACTACGAAAAACTTGGCTCGGGTTTGATTCGAATAAAATAACTAAATATGTGCACAAAATAGAGTTATTCAAATTTGGTTCGTGTTAGGTTCAATAGCAAATTAAAGATCAAACACAATTTTAAATATTCGATAGAAATTCAAATAAGATGATGGTTAACTTAAAGCATTTTGCATTCAGAATTAGACGGTGCTCTTAGTTGTTCAGATACATATTCAACATTCAGCAGTCGACATTTAATCTTATCAAACATAGTCACCCAAGGATGATTTTTTCAGTACATATGGAATCAAGGTTTGTTGGGCTTGAAACTTATATATTATCCTAATTGATGGTTTATAATTTTGGGCCAAATTTTATAAATTTTCGGCCAAACTTATAATTTTCAGTCATGCTCATATGTTGTATGATGACTTTAGATTATCGTTACTTAAGAAATATTATTTGTATAATTTATGTCACTTCAATTTATTTATTTTAGGTGATTTACTCATTTCTTTAGTATTGTCATGTTAAAATCGAAAAAAACATACGAGCTCGAGGATACTTTAGTAGGCCTTCTTCGCAAGTAATGATTTTTATTTTGCGATATGTTTTATTTTCATTCAATTTCTAATATGCCATTCTGATACTGATATAAAAAAATAAAAATAAAAACCTTGTGGGCACCAGGTTCGGGTCCGCTACCTTAACGGACCGTTGAGTTACCATGATTTACATTCCTCCATCAAATACTTGTCGGGCCAATGGATGGGGCTCTGGGGGCGAGAGATTTCGCCTTTTGGTGCAAAAAAAAAAAAAAAAAAAAAAAAAACTCACAAATCCAAATTTAGTAGAGAATGCTGATAAAAAAAAAATTATTATGTTTATAAAATAATTTAAAAGTATTATGTGGAATAATTTATTTGGCAATTACTTTTGCTTATCCACAATTTGGGTGCCATCGGTACACATTAATTGATGATTAGGCTATTATTGCAAAAGGCACCTTTTAGTGGGGGGAAAAGGAAAGTTTCACATGCTCACAATTTTGGTGGGACAGAAGAATACGTAAATTTCCCAACACATCCTTTTTATCTACAATAAATAAAATACACCCCGGCAATTATTTTAATTAACAATTAACAACCATTATTGACCATCTATTATTAAAAAAGAATAGAGGCGAAACAAATCCGCACACACTTTAATTCACGGGTAAATTACAAACACTCCCTGAGGTATGGTCAAATTATAAAAAAACCCCTCTTGTTTGGATAATTACATCTACCCCCCTCAACTATGATTTTTTCTTACACCTCCACCCTTATGGTGCCAAATTCAACATAATCATCTAGAATCCGTGGAATGTGCTCTAGTTTGTACTCGTTTTGTGTAAAAATACAGTTTCTGATGCACCACAAACTGATATATACAAGCTAAAAATCACATATTATGATCATCTTGCTTCATAATGTAGTGTTTGAATGGGATAAAACGGGTACAAAAGTGATAATATTTCATATAATCTCGAAGATTCCACTAAATTTGAGGAGTTGAGGGGTGGTTGTAATTATCCAAACAAGAGGGGTGTTTTTGTAATTTGACCATACCTCAGGGGGGTGTTTGTAATTTACCCTTAATTCACACAGGTTCGAATCTTCTTGTCAACAACCGCTAGGTCGAACTTGTCACACGTGGTTGGTCTAGTGTGACTTACATCTCCCGTGTGATTTGCAAGCTATTATACGAGTGTAGATTTACCCAGTGCATTTATATGGTTGGATTCGAGTTTTTTCATTACCAAAAAATAAAATAAAATAAATTAGAGGTGTACGAGAGACGTTAACCAGATTAAATGCTAACCATGTGTCACAAGCTCGACCTAGCGACCGTTGGCAAAAGAACTCGACACAGGCTCACTTGCTCCAACAGCTAGGTCATTCCTTGCAGGACTGTAACTTATTAAAACGATGAATTATAGTTTTTATTCCAAAAATTATACAAATTATGATACAATTATGGATATTTTTAGAAAATTACGTTTAATAATAAATTTTAACAATTTTAATATTAAAAAAATTTTAATGAACAATTTTAATATTAAATTAAATATAAAAAAAACAGTAACTAACTAATTAATTAATCAATAGAGAAATTATTAAAGTTCAATTATGTAAATTATAATTATAGTCTTGTTTGTTGACTATATATCCGTCAAATTCAAGGTGTGCCGGGTCGGGTCGGGTCGGGTCGGGTAGAGAAGGGTCATTTTCGGTAATACTGAATTGTGGAGTTTGGCGAACCAAACTTGGAGCATTCTCGGTGGTACACCTATGCACACACACACACAATATATATATATGTGTCTGTGTGTGTGTGTGTTTATATGTACAATCAAACATCAGCATTGAAAATAACAGGTGATGAACTGTGTTTTATGGTTTTGGATTCAATAAGCTATTTATTGCAGAAAACCTAGCTTTGATTGCAATCGTCTTCTACTCGAGTTCGCTCACCGATTTCAACCGCAACTCACTGGTACAATTTCGAAGCGCACACTTTTTTCAACGAATATACTTTTTTTTTCAAATCAGCTTTTACTTTTTCTTTTTTTTTGCTTAAATTCGTTTTGTTTTAGGTTTGCGATCGGTGAAGCGAAGCCTGAACTTCAGATTGTGATTTCATATATAGGTATTGATTTTGCCCCTTACCTCTGCTTCTGTGTGTGTGTGCTGCGTTTTATTTTGTATACGCTGTCGTATTAGGTAATATATCATCTTCCACATATTTGGGGAATTTTTTCTGCTTATATTCGATTTTAATTTATTTTTTTATGCAAGTTAGATATTTTGACAGGAGATGAATTTTTTGTATGTATATGTGTATGCCTCTGTTGTTGCTTAGTTTGAATAACTGAAAGAAATGGAAATTTAGCCAGAAAAAACAATGATGGTAGAAGTTTGGAAGACGATGTAATCGGATTTGTTTGATTCGGTTTGAGTTTGAATTCCCTTACACATAGATATAATTTCTTAGAAGGTAAAAATTCTAGGAGCAATTGATGATTCAAACAGCTTTTAGATCGTAAATCTGATTGTACTCTTAACTTATGAAGATCGAGTGCGAGAAAAAAATAAAACGGGGATTACTGATTTCCGTGGCAATATTGCGAGATGGTTTGTGTGTTATTGGTTTTGGGAAATTTAGCTTATAAAGCGAACCTCCTCCACCGTTTTCTTGCGAGAGTTCTTTTAGTTCCGAAATGCTCCTTAATAAATATATGAATTGGGACTGAGAATTTAGAAAGCAACAGTGCATTTACATAGTTTTTGGACTCCCTCTGTCCTCGTATGATACAATTTATGATTTCGATTTCAATTTTTTTTTTTTTTTTGAGCTTTTGGCGGTTCCGTTTTTCCTCTGGAAAAGAAAATCAGATTTGTGAATGTTTGCAAATTGCATTTAGTGTGTAGTTATTTCTCGCAGAACTCCTTGCTCGTGTTCTCCTTTACTCGTCAACTCTTCTTTAGTACCAATATTCTTCACTGTTTGCACAAGTGATTAAAATGTTTCGGTTTCTATATTCAAACATTTGTCTTTCCTTTTTTTCATTGAAGTAATTACGATTTCAATTGATCTAGTCTTTTTGATGTTATATCGACACTCAAAACCCTAAAATTTTCCCGTAGAGCTACATCACCTACAATGGAGCAGCAAGGAAATGGACAGATGCCATATAGTATGAACCTATACCAAACTAACCACATGACAGGACCCCCTTCCCCTGCCTCCGCCACCTCAGCCCAACAATCCCCCCAAACCGCCGCCACGCCAGCTCAGCTTGCCCACCACCACCTCGCCTACCAGCACATCCACCAGCAGCAGCAACAGCAGCTCCAGCAGCAGCTGCAGCAGTTCTGGTCCAACCAGTACGAAGAAATCGACCAGGTCACCGATTTCAAGAACCACAGCCTCCCATTGGCCAGAATCAAGAAGATAATGAAAGCCGACGAGGATGTGAGAATGATATCCGCAGAAGCACCTGTCATATTCGCACGTGCGTGCGAAATGTTCATTCTCGAGCTGACTCTACGCGCGTGGAACCACACGGAGGAGAACAAGAGGCGGACCCTACAGAAGAACGATATAGCTGCTGCTATCACGAGGACTGATATATTCGATTTCTTGGTCGATATTGTGCCGAGGGAGGATTTGAAAGACGAGGTGCTTGCTTCGATGCCGAGAGGGGCGATTCCTGTTGGAGCTCCTTCCGAGGGTGTACCGTACTATTATATGCCGCCGCCACAGGGTGTTCCTCCTCCAGTCGGTGCTCCTCCGGGTATGTTTGTGGGGAAGCCTGTTGACCCGGCACTCTATGGTCAACAGCCCCCTTCGAGACCTTATATGGGTCAGCAGATGTGGCCACAACACCCACCACCACCTGCAGATTCTTGAACAGGTTTAACTTTGAAGCTTTAGTTCAGATGAGACTATTTTTTTTAACAATTTAAATAATATGAAATTTTGCATTTCCAGATTGATAGGAACATGGTTCTGGATTTGGATTGTGCTACTGGAGTACTCAGGCAAGGGAATCAAATTGGAATATCTATATTATTACATTAATGCCAGTTTTATTATAGACTCTGGCTTGGTTTTTTTTTTTTTTTGGATGTGTTATATAGATTTACTCGTATTTAAACCCGGTCTTGTCGAAGCTTTCAAATTATGAATTTACGAACTTCTGTGGTATATATCATTGTCGCATATACGTGTGCGCGTATTTCTACTTCATTTATTATGCGTAATTTAGACGTTGTTCGTGATTAAGGGCCTCAATTGACCGATAGAGACATTTTTTCGGCTCAACAAATTCTAGTATCTTTTACGGGATCTTTGTGATGAATGCCTAGGGTAAAATAACCAAAATAAGATGATCAAGTTGTGAGTTTTTGCAAGCAAAATCCTTCGACTTTATTCAGTTCATCACATCTAAAAACTCACAAACATATACAAGAGTCGACATTCGTAATTCCTCTTAATATACCAATCCAGAGTTTCCGAGTAAATAAAGGAAATGCTCGACGGAACATCCTTCGACTCCAAACTAGGCTATCGGTTTTCGTTTCATTCACTGACTGGACATAATTCCTCCAAACTGCAACGTAAGAGAGAGAAAGAGAGTTGGCACATTTGTATAACGGCATAAAAGAATATTCGGCTTAAACTTTTGATGAAATACCACCTTTCTCCCAAGTGTTCGATTATGTCTGTGGTAAGAGTGGATCTTCGTTTACTATCAAATGCATGTGAAGCAGCCTTCCTCAACAGAACGGACCCCGCTATGCACCCCAAAACCGTAGGACCCGCACTCAGCTCCCGTTTCTCAGTACACTGACGGGCCCACGAAATGAATACAGCAACGCTGTCAACAAAAAGAAAACACAATTTCTTAGGAGAATGATGTTTTTTTTAATCTCTTTCGGTGATTAAAGATGTGTTATACTAAAATCCTTCAATGGAAGATCACTGATTTTATACAAGAAAAAATGGGAATAGGACGGACCCCAATTACCACTTCGGAAAAGAATCAATTTTTTTTTTCTGAAGTGGAAAACTAATTCCACCTCTATTCTGAAAATTGAAAAAGTTCAGAAAAAGATGGAAATCGGAATTTCGGATATTGGAACGAAAAAACTTGTTTCAACGTCGAATATTTTCCGATCCAAATCGGCGAAATTTGGAAATTCCATTTTTTTGTCACACATAATACAAAATGCATAATAATATTGATATTATACTTGTAATTTTCAGAAAATAAAAAAGGACAGAATTTTTGGAAATATTTTCAGAATTTAAAATCATATCGTGAATCGGAATCTAATATGTGTTCCAATTCCGTTCCAAAAAAATCGGAAATCAGAACTTTCGGAGCAAAAAATGTTGTTCCAAAATCGGAATTTTTTTTTTTTTATCGGAATCGGCGGAATTCAAAAATTCCATTCCAATTTCCACCCCGAGTCACAAAACTGAAATTGCATATTATCTACATTCAAATCGGAGAAGATATTATTTATAAATAAATAAAACTTTAATAAGTAAAAAAAACTATTACTTATTGTATCCACTATCCACTATGGGCGGTGATTATCGATTACCTTCCGGAAAGTATGTCACCCTGGCCACCGCAGCGTCGCGGAGAACCGAAACTGCTCACTGCACTAACTGCACAGATCACAAAATAAATTAGAAATTCGTTATAAAGTGATTTTCATATAATGATTTATTTTAATGCTACCTGTTTCACCATCACTGATTAAATCGGATGCTCCTTTCCTCAAAATAGTCACGCCTCCGATTCTGATTAAAAAAAAATAAGATAAAAACTCATAAGTGAATAGAATGTAAATTTTAATTTATCATTTTAATAAGCGAAAAAAAAAACTAAAAAATGCATACCCTTTGACAAGAGAAAGCAACTGCTGAGTTCCGTCTCGATCATTTACTTCACATTCTAGAACTTTCTGAACGAGGCGCTTGTACTCGTTTACATTGGGAGTTAAGACAGCCAAATGATAACCACTTATCAAATCAAGAGAGTTCGTAACGAGGAAAAGCCCGTCCTTAAAAAAAAAACAATTACATATTTAAATTCTTGCATATCTTTAAGGGCAAATTACGGCCACTCCTGAGTTATGGTCAAATTACGAAAACCCCTCTCCTGTTTGGGTAATTACAGCCACACCCCTCAACTATGTATTATCTTACAAAAAGACCCCTGCAGAGGTAAATTTAGGGATGTTAATTCGGTAAAACCGAACCGAAATTTCAGTACGCCAACATTTCATACCGTTTACCGAACTAAATATACGATTTGTTTCGGTAAATAACCGAATTACATAAATTTTATGTAAAAATATTTAAAATGAGGGGTGGCTGTAATTACCCAAACAAGAGTTTTTTCGTAATTTGGTCATACCTCAGGGGGTGGCCGTAATTTGCCCTATCTTTAAAAAAAACAAATTTTCGATTATACATTTTACCCACCCCATCTATAACCATTGGGACATTGGATCGCTTCGCATGCTTCATTATTTCGCTCACACAGTCCTGTAGACAATCCATGTTCGGACATAATTCACTAAATCAAAATTTAAAATATATATATATATATATATATATATATATATTATTTTGCAAACCAGGAGAAACGGGTCCCGCCCAAGGCCCGGACCGATAACAAGACAATCGAATCGCTCCATCCACTTATCAACCTCTTCGATAACTTTAGCCGATATCGATTTCTTATCCTCCTCCCTGAAAATGCATCATTTCATAATACAAACAAAAAAAAACGAGAAAATAGAATTCGTAATATCTCAAGAAAGAACAAAATGCTATTTATTTGACGGTAATATTCACCTCACACTATACGATTCTTCGAGTATAGGGTGCACAATTAACTCAGGGCTATAGCTTTTAATAACCGTGGCGGCATCTTTTGTACAGAACACGTGCGATAAATCAGCACCCTGAAATTATATATATATAATAACATCATCAGTTTTCCCAAATACAAAAATCGAAACATTCGATGCAGAAAATCGAAAAACAACTTTATCTCAACGAAACGAAATCCTGCAATAACAGAATGTTTATTCCGATGTAAAAACTGACGATTTTTAAAGCGGATATAGCGGCAAAGTATGGTGCACCGGTGTATTCGCGGCAACCGCCTACAACTGCTATCTTTCCTGTTAGAGAATCGAACATCCAATAAATATATTAGAAACATAATAAATGCAATCTATGTATGTAATTTTTTTTTTAATTCTTTTTCAGTTTAAAACAACAAATCAAGAACAAGAAACCCTAAAATTTGGGGGTTTATACTGCTAAACTCAATCTAGAAACCGGGCCACTTGGAATTTTCGAGAAACACGAAAAAAATCGAGCTTCTAAAACTAAACATTAATCTAAAAACAAGGTTACCCAAAAAAATTGAAGTGATAAATCAATATTACATATTACCAATTAAAAATTAAATTAAATTAAAAAAAAAAAGGAGTGAGTGTTTGTTAACATCACCAGCTTGGCCTTTATGCCTGGAAGTATCAAGAGAAGGAGTGATTGATCTCAAAATGGTGACGGCGTCGACCTCCGGCCAAGCGCCGCCGCCGCCGCCGCCGCTTGCTGAAGATTGCATTTTAACGGCGGAGGAGTAGCAAATATTCGTGCTGCTAGAATTGTAACCTCCTAAGCACCTTGTTAAGAACAGTTGCCTCCTGATTACAGCACCATGCGAGAAACCCACCATAAAATTCTCTCACAACTGTAGAAAAAAATGATTTTTTTTTTTTTTAATTTAATTTATAAATTCGATACAAATAAATTGGGTATGAGCTTAAAAAAAATGGATACGGCAAACAATCATCGGAAAAATCGAAAACGAGAAAGGAAAGAGAGACGCTTAACTTGCATAACGGGGATTGGATCGAACGGAGAAGATGCACAAACGGCGGTGGATAAAGCACGACAATGAAAGCATCAAAACCACGATTTTGCCACTGCTACTCTTCCTGGTTTACAACCCCGTCCTTGATGTTTGCAATATTCTCACTTGAGCCCCCAAATGTCTCTAATGTTTCTTTATGGATCCAAAAAATTAAATCATTGTATTTTAAGGGGAAATTAACTATGGGGTTAAATATTTTGCAACTTTCATTTTATTATTATATCAAATTTATGTAATTACCAATTGGTAATTGTACATTATTATGTATGATTTGAGCTTTTAATATCATATTATAAATAATATTTCTTCAATTATTTTTCATGTAAGATTTTTTCTTCCCAATTCATGCTCACGAAAAAATGGTTAGACAAACTCTTAACATGATTATAAACTGAAAAAAATAAAAGATAAAAAGTGTTCATGACCCAATCGTAGTCAAATCGAAATACATAAAATTGAACCATGCAATCGACAATAAAGAATACAAAAGGTTGTCGGAAAGAAAAGTAAATCGATCAAATGATAAAACAGACAATAATAGGCACAATAGATTGATCATTTATGCATACTAGTTTTGCATTTATAGTTATTGATTTGCATTAGTGAATGTAAACATTAGCGGAGTCAGAATTTTAAGTTCAGGGGTTGAACACATTAAAAGAATTATGAGAGTGGTTGTTAATACTTAATACTATTGTAGTATTGTACACAAAAAAGAAAAACATTTTTCTTTATAAATTAATCGTGATTTGAAAATGTTTGGGGGTCATGGCCCCTCGACTCTATGCCGCCTCCCCCACTGAAGGTGAAAATTAATAGTTGATGTAAATAAAAAGAAAAATGTTAAACCTTTAATCCTCCAAGGGGTAATAATAGTATTAAGCAAGATCTTAAATATGCAGAAAGTTATGGACTAAACAGAAATTTTCAATTAAATTAACATCAGAAAATTGGGTTACAAAATCGTGGTAGCTAGAAAAACCTTAAAAGCGCGTCTTCGAAAGGAGGAGAGAGAAGAAGAAAATGAGGGGGACGGCGAAAATGAACGCGCTGAGATCGGCGGTGGTGGTGGCCGGAGCTCTAGCATTCGGGTACCTGACCGTGCGGGTGGGTTTTAAATCTTTTATCGAGGAAGCCCAATTGGAGCAACAGCGTCAAGAAGCTCTTCTCCAATCCCAATCCGCCGACGAATCGGAAGTCAGTTTTGGCGACAGCTTTCACACAGACGACGCCGCAAATATCTCCGATGGGTCTGATCATAAGCTATGAATTTTGCATTTTGCTTCGTTTTTTTTTTGTTTAAATTTTGTCTTTAGAGGGTTTTTTTTCTGAATTATTTCTGGTGTATGTTTTTCTTAAAATTGAGAATTTTATGAAAATTATAATTTTATATATATATATATATATATATATATATATATATATATATATATTATTACTCTAGATTTAAATTGTTAATGCATCAAATGTTGATGAGATATTTTAAATGGCATTAGTAGTGGCGGAGTAAGCATAGAGCTAAGGGGGCCATGACCCCCCACCACTCGAGATTTGTTATTCTATCGATTAGTATATTTATTATTTGTCGGCCCTCTAGAAAATTGTAGTATACATTTGCTCACGACGCAAAGATAAAATTCTGGCTCGGCCATTGTTTGTAAGAAATCGCATTCGCATTATCTTGGTTTACAAATTTAAAGCCGTTGGATCTTTAAAGCAACGGAACGGACTTAGTTCGACTAGATTGTTTGATTCTTCGACAGAGTTAGGGCTTAAGCTGGAGTTGAATTTTCTACGGTTACTAATAAACTTGGTTGATTTTTAGACAACAACATCTTCACGGGGAGACGATGGACCGTGTAAACTCGACGACCATTTTCCGTCAATAAATTTGAGTTGTTTCGATTTGTTTTTCTTTTTGTTTTCCGTTTCTTTTGCATCAATTGCGAATGCAGGTCGAAAAATTATGCGAGTTGCTGACTTGCTGCGGTTTGGTGGGCCGATGATGAGTTTGTAAGTCTTGTTTACTTTTTTTTTTTTTTTTTTTTTTTTTTTTTTAAAGAGTACCCCTACCATAGTAATAAAAAATCTGAAACGACCCTATCGAGCCTATTATAATGCAGCCCCAAAATGGGGTAAAAAGGAAAAAAAAGAGATAGAATATCTACTCTTATGGTGGTAACAACTAGGAAAATTGCAAAAAGGCCCCATATGGGGTTAATATATGTAGAAGTATATTTATTTATGATTGCATTTTCTGAACAAGTGTTTAGTTTTTTTTTTTTTTTTAATATATATTTTAATTTAATTTTCTGAAAAATGTTTATAGTTTATTCCATTTCTTTTAGCTCTTGGTGGTGTTGGATTTTGCAAAAGGCTCCGAGCCCAGGACTAATAATTTTAATACTAATTCGGCCCCACATCTTGATGGATACTTTCATTTTCTTGCAAGTTCACTTGTAATAGTAAAATAATGGGTAAATAGCACTTCAATCTCTGTGGTTTGGACTTTGTGCACATGACCCCTAGTATTTTAGAATAAGCATATAAACACCTTGTACTTTCAAAAATTTCTTCTTCCTAACGAGCATAATTAGGTTTTTTTTTTTGTAAAAACTACCCTTGTGTAATCTCCAATTACTAAAAAAAGCCGTGTGTTAAAAAAATTAGCATGAACAGTCGAACACCTATGTGAAAAATAGTCAAATCCAACAAAAACCCCTAACAACTTATTGTGTAATGAACGCGCAGTTTGTGAGAGTAGAAGTGTATTTTTTTCTACTTGGAAAGTCAAAAATACCCTCCAAAATTCTTTTTGGTTCCTTTTGTGTTATTTTTTAAGATTTCTTTGAAAGGGTAATTTGGTCATTTTCACATAAGTCAACAATAAATTTCAAAATAAGGACCGATGTGCTTTAAAAATACAACACGAGGGGCTTCTCGCTAATTTTCTAACACCATGGGTTCTTCGACAATTAGAAACAATACAGGGAGGTTCGTGTATTAGCTCAGCATAATTATTTGCCAAGTAAAATACCACAAGGGGGGTTATATACCTATATTAAAAGTACAATGAACTCATGTGCACAATTTTCAAACCTGAGGGGGTCAAGTTGTATTTACCCTAAAATAATTTATTTTCTATTCAATTTTGGGAAAATGCATTTTGCATTTTTGGCTACACTCTTTAAAATAAAATAAAATAAAATAAAAATGAAATGCAGAAACAACAAATCACTGACACGAGCCAATATTCCATTGGGAAAATTGTTGCACGTGAATCGACATGTCCAAGATTTTACTGATCCAATTAAATTAATAATTCATGTTCCAATGTTTATTTATCAAATAAAAATTAATTAAATTTTTAATCTTTATTAATTTTCAAACAGGAGTAATTAATTGTATCATTTATTTAGTCATGCAGAGTGCAGACCAGTGTAGAATTTATTAACCATAGTTGTGGGGATGACTCACTACCTCATTCCATTTAAATACTTTTAATTACAATAATTAATATCCTTAACTGTAACAGATGAGTTTTCCTAATAAATATGAAAACCATGACACATCAAGTTTCTTTTTTATTTAATGGATATTGATAGTTATATATTTTTTTGGATAAAATACGAAAATTCCCCTGAACTTAGGTTAAATATCAAAAAACACCCCCATGTAAATGTAATTACTAAAATCTATTGATATTTGTTTCCATCTTACACTAAACTCCTTACTTATGATTTGTTCGACCCTACACCCGGTGTTTTTCACCGGGTGTAGGGTCGAAGGAACCCTTACTTATAGCGTTGTTTTTCAGGGATTTTTTTTTAATTCAGGGAATATTTCCCGAAAAATATCGATTCTACCCCTGCGGACGTGACATTTATTTATACTATTTTTTAAAGGCAAAAATTACCCTTTCATGACCTTTATATGAAATCTTTTATTATTCTTAAACAACACACCTTCACAACTTTGTAGTATTACAATAACTCCCCTGAGGGGGGTAATTTTTATCTTTAAAAAGTAGCATAAAAAATTCATGTCTGTAGGGGTAAAATTGATATTTTTCGAGAAATATTACCTGTAATAAAAAATATTCCTTCAAAAATCATACCGTATATGGGGTCGGTGTAAGATAGAAACAAACGTTAGGGGGATTTTGGTAATTACGGAAATGTGGGTGCATTTTTTTGTAATTTAGCCTAATTTCAGGAGATTTTCGTAATTTACCCATTTTTTGTCAACTAATAAGGGGTTATTCATGTGCACTATTGATGGAAATTAATTAGGGAAAAACAAAAGGAAGTGGAACTGTAAATGCAAGAACAACGTGGATCTCACTGTTTTTAAACCGTTATTAACGCCCCTATTTGTTAAATATTTACTTTTTGCCCCCCACTAATTTATTACTTTTCAACGCAACTTTTTACCATGAAAAAAACTCCAAAAATAATTTAACGGAAGTTACCTTTCTTTCAATTAACCGTCAAGTCTTTTTCATTGTGTCCGTTATTTGCAAGATCTCAAGCTTATGTCATTGTCATTTTCCTTGGGCTTTTTGTTTGATTAATATAATATAATAAGATGGGCTTAGTTTCACTGTATACCCTTGAAATATAGCATATTATTACTTTGCACCTCAGAAATATTTAATATTATTTTACACCCTCGAAATACAATAAATCATTCAAATTGCATCCTGAATTGAATTTTTAATAGTTAATGAGCCAAATTCATCTTTTTATGGCATATTTATCTTTAAGTGGAAATTGTTTAATCTACAAAGTGCCAAAATAAAAGAATTAATCACTTAATTAATTTAAAGCATTTTTTCACCAAAAAAAAAAATCTCATAATTTTTTTATTCAATATTCAATCGGTTGTATGGTATACTATAATTTGTGGAGATATTTGATGAAATTAATTTTATAAAAGAAAATGGCTGGATGATTTTTCTTTTAATTCGACACTGCTATTAAATTTTTTCGAGGATGCAAATTGCCAAGATACTACATTATAGGGGTATAAAGTGGAATTAAGCCCATAGAATGGGAGTTGAAGTTGACATCCCCAAAGTTCTATATTAACATTCCAAAACATATTATTTGTTATCTAAAGAAAATAATGAATAAGGGAATGCTAGTAATATTTTTAGTACATCAATATCTGCTTTAGTATGTGATGTAGATACTAAATAAAAGCTTGTTAATTAAGTAACAAATTTAGATACAATAAATTTATTGCAAATGTATTTTTTTATATCAAGTCATAGCCTCCACTATTTTTCCATATTAACATAATTTGATTTTTAAATAATAAAAAAATATGGATAATATTACTTATTAAATGCATTTAAAAGAAAACTACAAAAAAGGAGAGAGAAAGTGTGTAAAAAGAAAAGGGTAAATTTCACCTACACCCCTGAGGTACGCTAAAATAACTTTAAGGTCCATGTGGTATTGATAATTACAACAAAACCCCTGAAAACAATTATCGGAGCCAAGATTTCATGTTTAGGGGACCAACATGCACTATATTTGTTTCATGCGGGGCCATTAGTGCTACTATAAACGAAAATTTATAAATCGTATATAAAATAATAAGGATTTAAGAAATGTTAGGGGTGCCATGTCACCACTCATTATCTCATGTTGTCTCCACCATTGACCTGAAACTGATAGCCCGTTAGAACCCTAACGGAATAATTTATACAAAGCATTATTCCGTTAGAATTTCCAACAATGTTTTAGGGAGGCGATTGTAATTACCGATACTACATGGACCTTAAAGTTATTTTAGCATACCTCAGGGATGTGGGTGTAATTTACCCAAAAGATAAATAAATAAACAAATCTTTGATTTCTTATTTATTTATTTATCTTGTCATATTTTCCTATGTGGAGGTCACTAATTTTAGTCCAATAATATAAATTACGAAAATGTAATAAAGCAGCACAGATCCTATCTGGATTTTGAATTTAATCTTATTTGCCAATATACCCCCCACCACCACCCCCCACCACTATCCCCATCATTGCTTTTACCCACTCACCCCCTCTCTCTCTCTCTCTCTCTCCGCTCCATTTCTGCCATAGTTGGTACCTTGCTTTCCAAACACCCCACTCTCTCTCTCTCTCTTGTTTCTCTCTCTAGTAACTAATAATCACACTATACCAGCAAAAAAACAACAACAACCCTACAGTCAATGCAAACGGCCATCCATTACTCCTCAAACAAGTAAAGAAGCCACAAACCCAAAACGCAGAAAAATAAATAAATAAAGAAACATAATTTAATGATTATATTCATTTCTTTGTTTCGCTTGCCCACTAATTTTTAACCCCCCTTGTCTGTAGAACACAATAAAAATCGAATCTTTATCTCAGATTTTAATCCCCCAGAAAAATAAAATAAAAAATGTGCAATAGTAGCCCATCGGCGGCGGAAGTTTCCGACGCCGTAAATTTCGGAGATTTCTACAAACGAGCGAAGCGCTTCCGGCTGTTCGAACCCTCCGTCGGTGTTCTCGGGGTGGCGGTTTGCGCCGTTATTTTCTGCTTGTTTTTGCTGGATTACAGAACTGCGACGAAAGGGCTGACGAGGTTTCCGTCGCAGAACGAGCGGCTTCTGTGGCTCCGAATCGACGGCGACGGTGGTGGTGGCCGCGGCGGCGGTGGTGGTGAGGAGAGTAGTAGGAAGAAGAAAAAGATTGATTTTTTATCGAGTGGTGATGGGTGTGACGTGTTCGACGGTGATTGGGTGTGGGATGAGCGCTATCCTTTGTACCAATCGAAGGATTGCCGGTTCTTGGATGAAGGATTCCGGTGCTCGGAAAATGGCCGGCCGGATTTTTTCTACGCCAAGTGGAGGTGGCAGCCCCGGAGTTGCAACTTGCCCAGGTAAATTTTATTTTTTTAATAATTAATTAATTATTAATTTATTACATCATTGTTTTCTCAGAATATTTCTTGTCTGAAATTTTGTTTTTTTTAGTTTGTTTTATTTATTTGGGCGGACATGTCAATTTGTTTGTTTGTGTGTGTGTGTGTGTGTGTGTGTGTGTTTTGATATTTGATCAAGGATTTGTTTTAATTTGAATTCGAAAATCATTGGATTCATTCGATCTTTAATTTGAATTCGAACTCGATTTGTCGATTTTAATTTATATTTTTTTGAAATTGTTCGTAACTAGGGACTAACAAACGATTTCCACCTCAGATTCGATGCAAAAATCATGTTAGAGAAGCTACGAAACAAACGCATCGTGTTCGCCGGAGACTCGATCGGAAGAAACCAATGGGAGTCTCTTCTCTGCATGCTCTCCTCTGCAGTTCCTAACAATGACTCGATATACGAAGTAAACGGAAACCCGATCACAAAGCACAAAGGCTTCTTGATTTTCAAATTCATCGATTATAATTGCACCGTCGAGTACTATCGGGCCCCGTTTCTCGTTCTTCAAAGCCGAGCCCCACCCAATTCTCCGCCCAGGGTCAAAACGACATTGAAATTGGATCAAATGGATTGGACTTCCTCCAAGTGGAAAGATGCCGACGTGCTCGTTTTCAACACGGGGCATTGGTGGAATTACGAAAAGACTGTTAGAGGGTAATTTAGTAATTTCACACACCCTTTGTTCTTTAGTGTAAGGATTTTAATTTTGCTGATGAGATTTTACATGGATTTTATCAGAGGATGTTATTTTCAAGAAGGTTCGAATGTGGAGATGGGTATGAGTGTTGATAGTGCGTACGAGAAAGCTCTAGGAACGGTTTTTGAATGGATAAATCGAAAAGTAAATACTACGAAAACGCAAGTTTTCTTTCGGACATATGCTCCCGTGCATTTCAGGTATGCACCAAATTCACATTGCATTATATTTTCGACTATAATGTTTAGCTAGGGGTGGAAATTGAAACTGATTTTTTGGTTTTTGCCGATTCCAATTCAAAATTTTACGATTTTGGAACAATATTTATCATTATGATATCAATATTATTATGTATTTTATATTGGGACGCCGATTTCGATCAGAAATTTTCTGATTCTGGAACAAGTTTTTTCCTTCCGATTTTTTCTTTTTAACAAAATTGCAATTAGTTTTTCACTTAAAAAAAAAATCAAAAATTTTCCGAGTTTTTCCACCCCTATGCACACTATATTACTCGGTCACTAACAACTTTGTAAATCAAATAGTTGATTTCGGAAAGTGTTGGGGGGCTATGGCCCCCAATTGGCCCTATTCAGCCTCCGCCACTGAGTAAAAAAAAAAAGGTCAGGAATTTTATGATTTCTTCTCTTTTTAGGGGCGGTGATTGGAGATCGGGTGGAACATGCCACTTGGAAACCCTACCGGATCTCGGTTCGTCTCTCGTGCCATCTCACACGTGGAATAAATACAACATTTTTTCCCGAGTACTATCTTCGCACTCGAATTTATCTGATTCAAAATCACTTGGAGTATTGAATATAACTCATATGACTTCTAGAAGAAAAGACGGGCACTCGTCTTTGTACTACTTGGGCCCGAAAGTGGGGCCCGCTCCTCTTCACCGGCAGGACTGCAGCCATTGGTGCTTGCCGGGTGTACCCGATGCGTGGAACGAGCTTCTCTATGCTCTCGTTTTGAAGCGTGAAATTACTGGAAAATCGAATTCTTCGAGTTTTCATGCACAAGTATGATTGGTTTTTGGAGGTGGTGTTAATTGTGTATATATATATTATATATATATATATATATATATATATATATATATATATATATACATATATATATATATATACATATATATATATATATATATATATATATATATATATATATATATATATATATATATATATGGTGCAATTGAAAAGATGGAGTTTGAGCAAATCCAAGATCAAGATTCTGAGTTATTGAATAGGTACATTTTTTTTTCTTTAGTTTAACAGATAGAATGCTAAAGTTTATTGATAAATTAGCAATATATTGATTTATGAACATATATAGATACAAAAATATATATATATGTTCGAATTTACCTTTTTTATTTATTTATTAATTTGTTTGGTTTGTAATGTAATTATAGTTAGTAAATTTTGTGCACATTGGATGGATGATTTATGATTGAGATATGAAATGCAAATTGTAAACTTGTTGGATATATATATATATATATATATATATATATATATATATATATGTAATTTGTAATTAAGGAATTCACAACTAATTATATAGGTGCACTGGTTAATCTACACTCTCGTGTAATAGCTTGTAAATCATACGAAAGACGTAAACAACGTAAGACTGCTAATACCAATAAGAAGATAAGCTTTTTTCTAATTTGAATAAAATATTTTTTATATAACAAATCACTCATATTTAATCCAATATTGATATTTTCCCCTCAATATTTATTATTATTTATGTTCACAAGGGAAAAAAAAGAAAATACAAAAGCGCATTTTAGGAATCATAAACGCACAAGGCGTAAATTGTAAGCTACCCGCGCGACAAGACCATCCGTTTCTCTCCTGTTATGTTTTTACAGTACTAAACAGTTACAAAGTAACCTACAAATATCCAGTCAAAATCGTGTTTGTAGCTTCTGACGCAATACCTTCATCGATGCAGAAATAAGGTTTAAGGTTTGTAAGGCCCGGAACGCCATACATACATTTGGGTACAATTCACTGCAGAATTTCTTGTTCCTGCCAAAGTATTTGAAGATCCTCGTTTCACAATTTTGAATTGAATTTACGAAACAACAAATATGGCGGAGACTCAGCCCAGCAGATCAAGGGACCTCGACAAGCTCCTCCTCCGGCCCGGTCATCTTGTCGGCCCGAACTTTGAACCCGGCTCCGAAGTATAATCTCTCTCTCTCTCTCTCTCTATGTGTGTGTGTGTGTGTGTGTGTTTTGACTGTGTAATTTCGACAAACAGTTGATCTGCATTCAATTTGCCACATTTAGAATCTCTTCGATTGATTGTGCTTGTTGTGAAACCCGAATTCTGATGAGCCACCACTGAATTACTCTTTCATTAGGCCCTTTTATCTTGTAATTAGCTTCTCAAACGCACACTGTGCATTGAATTTTTCGACATTATAATATGTATCTGATGATCAAGATAACCCCCCTATTTGTGCAGCTGAGAGAGGATATAAAAGAATATGTTAAAGTTTTGGTGGTGGGGGCAGGTGGGCTGGGCTGCGAGTTGCTTAAGGATTTGGCCTTGACTGGCTTCCGGAAACTTGATG